ACACAACCCAACACTCGTCTCCTACACATCACACATTCCAACCTCCACATCACACAGCTCAACACTCGTCTCCCACACATCACACATTCCAACCTCCACACAACCCAACACTCGTCTCCTACATATCACACATTCCAACCTCCACATCACACATTCCAACACTCGTCTCCTACATATCACACATTCCAACCTCCTCACAACCCAACACTCGTCTCTCACACATCACACATTCCAACCTCCACACCAGACAACCAAACACCCCTTTCCATACACGTCACACATCCCTACCTCCACACAGCCCAACACTCGTCTCCTACATATCACAAATTCCAACCTCAACACAACCCAACACTCGTCTCTCACACATCACACATTCCAACCTCCACACCAGACAACCGAACACCCCTTTCCATACACGTCACACATTCCTACCTCCACTCAGCCCAACACTCGTCTCCCACACATCACACATTCAAACCTCCACACAACCCAACACTCGTCTCCCACACATCACACATTTCAACCTCCACACAACCCAACACTCGTCTCCTACACATCACACATTTCAACCTCCACACAACCCAACACTCGTCTCCTACACATCACACATCCCAACCTCCACACAACCCAACACTCGTCTCCCACACATCACACATTCCAACCTCCACACAACCAAACACTCGTCTCCTACATATCACACATTCCAACCTCCACACAACCAAACACTCGTCTCCTACATATCACACATTCCAACCTCCACACAACCAAACACTCGTCTCCCACACATCACACATTCCAACCTCCACACAACCAAACACTCGTCTCCCACACATCACATATTCCAACCTCCACACAACCAAACACTCGTCTCCTACATATCACACATTCGAACCTCAACATTACACATTCCAACACTCGTCTCCTACACATCACACATTCCAACCTCCACATCACACAGCCCAACACTCGTCTCCTACACGTCACACATTCCAACCTCCACACAACCCAACACTCGTCTCCCACACATCACACATTTCAACCTCCACACAACCCAACACTCGTCTCCCACACATCACACATTTCAACCTCCACACAACCCAACACTCGTCTCCTACACATCACACATTCCAACCTCCACACAACCCAACACTCGTCTCCTACACATAAAACATTTCAACCTCCACACAACCCAACACTCGTCTCCCACACATCACACATTTCAACCTCCACACAACCCAACACTCGTCTCCTACACATCACACATTCCAACCTCAACATCACACATTCCAACACTCGTCTCCTACACGTCACACATTCCAACCTCTACACAACCCAACACTCGTCTCCCACACATCACACATCCCAACCTCCACACAACAAAACACTCGTCTCCCACACATCACACATTCCAACCTCCACACAACCCAACAATCGTCTCCTACACATAAAACATTTCAACCTCCACACAACCCAACACTCGTCTCCCACACATCACACATTTCAACCTCCACACAACCCAACACTCGTCTCCTACACATCACACATTCCAACCTCAACATCACACATTCCAACACTCGTCTCCTACACGTCACACATTCCAACCTCCACACAACCCAACACTCGTCTCCCACACATCACATATTCCAACCTCCACACATTCCAACACTCGTCTCCCACACATCACACATTCCAACCTCCACACAACCAAACACTCGTCTCCCACACATCACATATTCCAACCTCCACACAACCAAACACTCGTCTCCCACACATCACACATTCCAACCTCCACACAACCAAACACTCGTCTCCCACACATCACATATTCCAACCTCCACACAACCCAACACTCGTCTCCCACACATCACACATTCCAACCTCCACACAACCAAACACTCGTCTCCCACACATCACATATTCCAACCTCCACACAACCCAACACTCGTCTCCCACACATCACATATTCCAACCTCCACACAACCAAACACTCGTCTCCCACACATCACATATTCCAACCTCCACACAACCAAACACTCGTCTCCCACACATCACATATTCCAACCTCCACACAACCAAACACTCGTCTCCCACACATCACATATTCCAACCTCCACACAACCAAACACTCGTCTCCCACACATCACATATTCCAACCTCCACACAACCAAACACTCGTCTCCTACACCCACACAGCCCAACCTCCACACAACCAAACACTCGTCTCCCACACATCACATATTCCAACCTCCACACAACCAAACACTCGTCTCCCACACATCACATATTCCAACCTCCACACAACCAAACACTCGTCTCCCACACATCACATATTCCAACCTCCACACAACCAAACACTCGTCTCCCACACATCACATATTCCAACCTCCACACAACCAAACACTCGTCTCCCACACCCACACAGCCCAACACTCGTCTCCCACACATCACATATTCCAACCTCCACACAACCAAACACTCGTCTCCCACACATCACATATTCCAACCTCCACACAACCAAACACTCGTCTCCTACACCCACACAGCCCAACCTCCACACAACCAAACACTCGTCTCCCACACATCACATATTCCAACCTCCACACAACCAAACACTCGTCTCCCACACATCACATATTCCAACCTCCACACAACCAAACACTCGTCTCCCACACATCACATATTCCAACCTCCACACAACCAAACACTCGTCTCCCACACATCACATATTCCAACCTCCACACAACCAAACACTCGTCTCCCACACATCACACATTCCAACCTCCACACAACCAAACACTCGTCTCCCACACATCACATATTCCAACCTCCACACAACCAAACACTCGTCTCCCACACATCACATATTCCAACCTCCACACAACCAAACACTCGTCTCCCACACATCACATATTCCAACCTCCACACAACCCAACACTCGTCTCCCACACATCACATATTCCAACCTCCACACAACCCAACACTCGTCTCCTACACCGACACAGCACAACACTCATACAGACCACACACACAATACTGCGTGTCCCATGTATAATGCTCTTTATGGGTATCGTGCGGTATGCGACACATTCGTTAACCAAACATACAGTAAACTACGTTTTTAACGAACGCAGTTATAACGAACTGTATATATGCATATAGCGAACTACGGTTGTAACGAACTAAAATCAGGGGTCCCTTTGAGTTCGCCATAACCGTAGTTAACTGTATTTCTTCTGCTTCGTTATTGAAAATCAACAACTGTTTACGTCTACGCACCTTAAGTAGACTGCCCCTGTATTTTACTTATTTTAACAAATCTAAATCCCCGAAGGCCCCTTATTCGAATGCCATCGGCCTTTTACCCACCAAATTCACCTCTGCAATTATCCAACCCTACTGACACTACAGACAGGTCACGGGTCTCTATATATATCGGAATCAAAGGAGGTGGTTAAGCCAATCCTCTTCTTATTCGGCGGTCAGTTGTGTAATGTTGCTTTTACTGTGTTAATAATAGGGCATATTTTAACCTGCTATAAGCACCCGCAATTTGTGAGAATGACACTCCGTGTCTAGAAGTCATGTCCCTCCTTCAATGGCCCCTGGTATATCCTTTCAGGTAAATTTCCAAGACAGGTATAATTATACGTGTAGTCTTCGACAGCGGACTTGTTCACACTGCTTCATGAAGTACACGTCAATGCTGTTTAAAGTCCCACAGCGGCACGCCCGGCGCTGCGTGTTTCCGAACGCTCCCCGTCCCTCTGGTGACGGTGAACTGACGTAATATTCCCACCACAGGCGATTACCTCCCTTATATTACTCCAGTTGAATTTGAAACACCTTGGTATTGCCATACTCCGACCGTATGCGAGAATGAGTGTTGTTCTACGTCGCAAAGGCGAGATTTAATGCTTTACCATTTCACTGCGCCCTGTACACAACCGGGAATTGTTAAAACTGTGAGAGACTGAATGAGTAACCACCCTCATCTTCACCGTCACCCTAATCCTTACCTTCACCCTCACCCTAATCCCATTCCTCACCCCCACCCCAAACCTCACTTCAACCCCACCCTAATACTAAACCTTACCCTAACCCTCACCCACACCTTCAGCCTAATCTTGGTACAATGTGTGAAGCCCATTTCTGGTGTCCCCCGACGTGATATTGCTGGACTATTGCTAAAAGCGGCGTAAAACCATACTCACTCACTCACTCAACCTAATCCTTACCTAGACCCTCACCCCCACCCTCATCCTTAACCTCACTCTCTAATTTCTTTTAAATAAAAATTATGCGTGTTATCGCCATGTCAACAATCAATTCTGGTGTCACTGGGTGGTTCTGTCATAACTGACTGTAAGGGGAACCCACATTTGCGGATGGTCATCCTTTTAGGTAACTATATTAGGTAACTATATTATCTATATTCGTGAATGAAAAAAATAATATCCTGGTATTCAAGTTTTGTATCGGTGGGGGATGTACAAACATAACTGGCTTCACATGCAAACGTTTATCATGTCTGGAATCGAACCCACGTACCAAGTTAACCAGCTAACGCACTCACCAATATGCTACCTACTTCTATTTGAAGACAATGCAGGGAGCGAAAACGTTGAGGTTAGTCAGTCCCGAGAGAAGCCACACCCGTTGCCATGGTTACATTAGAGCACGTGTCATGACGTTCAGTGGGTCTACAACTCGAGCCACCATGTACACTGAATGACCCGCGCGCGTTCAGGGAATTCTCCCTAGATTGTAACACAATATCTTAATGACAACGACAACATTAAAGACGCTTGGATTCAATCTTTGAAAGATATAATCCGTAAAACATGTATGCATACAACCCTGAACTTAAATTGAACCAACATCATTACTTTAATCCAGCGACTCTTTAACTCTACAGAGGTAAGACTAATTTGCCCGTACCGACACTTTATAAGTCAGCTGTAAGGTTGTTGCTACAGTTCATGCCGTGTATGACACAGGTTAGACAGACACTACTTGAACGTATAGTGGGCCGAGGCAAAGACGATCCACTCATCACAGATAGAGAAAGTAAGATCGAGGCACTCTGTACAGATTATGTAGGGATTACCCTGCAAGCCAACACACCACAGCGTTGTTGTGCTGAGGGTGGGGATGGCGTCCTTGGGGGTAAGGGGGTCGACGGAGGAAAGTGCTCAGGGGGGAGGGAGTGACATCCTGGCGAGGTACCAGGACAGGATCAAGAGAGGAGTTACCTTTACAGAGACAGAGAGGACCGTGTGGGGGTCGGATGTGTATCCTAGCAGCAGAGAGAGATCGGGGTGGGGGTCGGATGTGTGTCCTAGCGGGGTGAGAAGGGACAGAGGGCTGGAGTACACCATTATACCAACGGGAAGACACCATCGGGATGAGCGACGGGACGTGTTTGACCGAGGAACCACGTCAATTTATACGCCAGAAAGACGAAAACAGATTGAAACCATGGAACTAAAGGGAAGTAATGTTACAGACTCTAATTTTCGTCTGCCTCGGATTGTAGTCCGTGATGTGGTCGGGCGGGAGCTGGATACGTTCACGACGTTGCAGGAAGCTATATACAGAGCTCAGTGGAACGTACGGACAACGTGCGAGTCCCGTTCCCCAAGAGAATGGCGTCTCCCTAAAGCTCCACTTCCTTCACGACCAGACTACTCCAGACAAGTACCCCAAAACTCTACGACCAGACCGGAGTACCGCCGCACACCCCGGGTAGCCCAGAGCGCACCCCCGGGCTCAGTGGTGGTAAGTAAACTTCTGTTTTAGGTGATGGTGATAGTGTTGTATGTAGTTGCACGCCACGATGTCAAACACAAGGATCCCGTTTCACAAAGTGATCGTAGCGCTACGTCCATGTCAAAGTATACTATTCAAAAGAAGTGTAAGGATGTCCGATACTTTCCTATAACTACAGTAAATCTGTCATAACATGACTTATTTTAAGCAGTATATAACAATTACGATAGCAGTTGTGCAACGATCACTTTGTGCAAAAACAACGCAGCTAGATACATATAGTTAGATTTTCTAAGCATTCGATGACACGTACGATACGATATCTTACGGCTACGACTCCAAAGATTAATGGCCCTCTCTGTGGTCTAGTGGTAGAGCGTTCGCCAAGGAGAGCGGAAGGTCCGGGGTTCGATCACGGGCCACGTCATACCAAAAGACGTTAAAAGATGGTACTTGTTGTTACTCTGTCTGGCGCTCGGCTTTAAGGGGGAAAAACAAGGACTCGTCGGCTAGGAGTCAGTATACTGTGTCTGAGTGGGGTGGGTTGGTTGGTTCGCTGTTTAACGCCGCCCTCAGCAATATTCCAGCTATATGACGGCGGTCTGTGAATAATCGAGTCTGAGCCAGACCATCCAGTGATTAATTTCATCAGCATCGAACCACGCAATTGGGATCGCTGACATGCGTCAACCAAGTCAGCTAGTCTGACCATCCGACCTGTTACTCGCGTCATACGTCAAGCATAGTCGCCATTTACGGCAAGCATGGTCTGAGTGGGGTATTCATGTTAAACTGAGCCATGGTATCCCAGTGGGCTAGTACTTTAAAATCGGCTTCAGTCCGGACTAGTACAAGCACACACACACACACACACACACACACACACACACACACACACACACACACACACACACACACACACACACACACACACACACACACACACACATAGAGAGACTTGGAAGAGCTGAGGTGGCTGCTTGTTGGCTTCTTGTTGGTGCCAATCACATCCGTTTTGATTACATATTCTTTTCTGTTGGATTCAGATAACTTGCAAATCTTACCTCGATGGTATTTAATGTTTAGTTACAGACAACTTGAAACTAAAGTAAAATAGAGGAAGTAGCATATGTATGCTACAGTGCAGATGAGATTCCAGATTCACACGATGTCGAGTTACCCGAGAGAAAATATCCTGCTTTTTTAACTAACACAGCCCCATTATGTCCTAATTTTATATTTGTGATGTAGAGCTAAGCTCATACTATGAGGAGTGTCTGTATACGGTCTAGCTACCTTGGATGTATAGTACACCCTTAACTGTTTGCATGTACAAAGTACAATGCGTTCCATGCCTACATGCTGCATTTGAACCATATACACATTCATGCAGCATATTTCTGAGGGCATCAAAGTCACTAGATGTTCTCTGTTGATGGAACTGGACAGAATTTGTCATCAGGTACGTACAACTGTAAGGTCAATCCCAACAACCATCCATGCGGACATGGTGTCAACTTCAGGATATGATGCTCCTTCCTTTGCCATTGTTAAGATTAAGACGGGAAAAGAGAGACTCGAAGATGATCCAAGATGAGGAAGACCTCCAACTGCCACCATTAAGTAAAATGTTGATAAAATGCGTGATATGGTTATGGACGATCGACGACACACGTCACAGAGCCAGTACAGTAGGCTTCTAGAATGGGAGGGTTGATGACATTCTGAGGATTGTCCTGGGCATGACAAAGGTGTCAGTGCGATGGGTTCCAAGGCTTCTGAACATTCCAGGATCATCATCTCTCGTTAGAATTTACGTCGTTTAGAAGGAGACCCAGCTGGTTGTGTTGGGCGATTGGTAACCATGGACGAGTCTTTGGTTAACATTATTAGCCAGAGACGAAACAGTCAAAGCAGAGGAGTTATCTACCGTCTCCGAAGAAGGAGAAGAAGAAGAAGGAGGAGGAGGAGGAGGGGGAGGCAAGAAGATGGCTTCGGTTTTCTGGGATTCCTTTATTATGTAAATCTGCTTAGGCAACTATGTGAGGATAACAAGTCTAAAAGGTATATTGTTCCAAAAGGACAATGGATCTGTGCACAAATCTGGCTGCAATGTAAGAATGTAGCTTTGAAGTCATTGAACATCATCCGTATTCGCCAGATTTTACACCGTCAGATTTCCACCTCTTGCCAAACATGAAGAAAGAACTGTCCGCAATCAGCATGCATTTCTGCTGTGGATGACTTTTTATACCGTTAGGGGGAAGCCAGTGAGACCTAGGCACATTAGCATCGTTGACAAGAAACTGTGGACATCGGAGGAGATTAAGTTGAAAAATAATCAGCAACCAACTTCATCAACGCAGACAATCATAGTTAGGCTCAGAACTTTTCATCCACACCTCGTGGTTCTCAGGGTACACGGGGGACCCAGCGTCGCAGTTCGCTGTGCAAAGTTGCGTCCCTCGGACACGCCAGAAACTCTTGGTTTCGAATCCCTGTTCGAACCGATTACGTTTCCATATTTGTCAGCACCATACACGTGCTCGTGGATTTCACCAAAATGGTAGACGTCTGGAACCTTTATCACTTCGGGCTCTCCTCCCACATAAGGCTGTTCAAAGCGGCGTTAAACCCAACTCACTCACTCACTCGTAGTTCAAGACTGAAATGACTAACACCATAGACTGTAATTCCCCTTCATGATAACTCCAGAGTAAACATTTACATAAAGGGGCCTAGGTTCGGCCAAATTTGCAGTTCTAACATGTTTGATTAAAAACATTCAAACAACACTATGGCTACTGAATCCAATTATATTACATTTCTATCAATGAAAGCGACAAAACCATTTGTAAGCTAGCGTGCTCGAGTTTTAACTTTAATTGTTCAGGGCCAACTATACTTTATTAAACTACACACGGGGGTAGAGCCAATTGTATTTTTTTTTAAATAATGTTTGATATACAGGTCTGTTTGGGGTGAACAATCAGTTCGCTGTTGTCGTTATACAGAACGCGTTACTCGCGTGAAAATTTGCTATGATACTATATCGTACAGCGTTCGTGACTTTTAATATAGTCAGTACGTTATATCCGTGTTCGTTGTACAATGTCCTATATATTATTGAGATTAAAATATGTCTGAACATTCCTCTCATAGTTAAGTCTAGATACCCCGATACATTTAAACGTAGGAGAACTGAGAGACTGATCTAGATCAGAACCCAGGAACCGCTTCAATAAACAATGCAAACTTCTTTCTCGTCAGACAATATCACGACAGGCCAGTATAAAGGTGTAGCATTATAACTTGCATTCTTTGAAAGCAGGCGTTTGTTCTGCATTTGTTTGTTTGTATGTATATGTCTGTTTGGTTGATAGTGTGATCTGTGTTAGAGACCAATAGGCCCATTGAGAACACGTCAGGTCAAACTGTTCCATATGCTTGAGCTGGTTTTATGTTGCATTTGTATACAGAAGGCAACAACGCTCACTGGGGACGCCCTTAGTGTTGTTTGTGTTCAGATAAACATAGGATAAATCACTTGCAGCGTTGGGAGAATACTTGTTCCCTCATGCTGAAATAAATAACCGCTTTAAGAACTTATACAATTTGATGTATTTCAACAGCCAAGTGAATGCATAAGCGTACTATCTCCGACATATGAATGAGTGAGTGAGTATTGTTTTACGCCGCTTTTAGCAATGTTACAATATCACGGCGGGGGACACCAGAAATGGGCTTCACAAATTGTACTCATGTCGGGAATCGAACCCGGGTCTTTGGCGTGACGAGCGAACGCTTTAACCATCAGACTACCTCACAGCACATGTTTAGGTAATGTTTCTGAGAGATGGGAAGAGATTTTTCGAGCACAGAATGACATTATTTGAAAAAGACTATATCTTGAAGGCTAGAGGAGACGCCATGTACAATATAGATGTTCGATTCCCCACCAGTGTGCACTGTGTACAACTTGTGGTGTCCCCGTTGCCATATTGCCGGAATATGTCCTGGAAGCGGCCCCGACTCTACTCACTCCAGACTTACCTCTACACTTCACTTGAAAGATTTATATAAGAAGAAATTGTACAAGTATGATCGTAGCTACTCTGCAGTAAGTTGTGTAGGTCTCATATCTGTGGGGATCATAACTCACTGAGACAAGTTTAAGGGGAGAGGAGGGGCGTGGGCCCAGCAAGGGATCTTTGTTTCGAAGAAAATATGTTTTCAGTCAGCCAAACAATTGGGTTTTTATCATAAACAACACATTAAGTTTCAGGACATCCAGCATATAGTGAATCATTTATGTTGTTGTTTGTTTGTTTTTGTGTTGTTGTTTTTTGTTGGTTTGTTTTTAGGGTTGGGGATAAAGTCGGGGGATCTGAGGACACATTAGTTCGGTAACAGATAATATTCTTTAAATTTATCCCTCACCCCCCGCATATTAAATAATCGGCCCCTTATTTCCAATTGGCAGAGGCTGCGTAGCACGTTTACCCTTGTGCCTATGTGTGTTGACAATGAACATGCCTATATTTGCTTAAACGTATGTCATATGTATGGAGTGCGGAGTGTGTTTGTGTGTAGTGCGGGGTCTTGACAGCTAAGATAAATGTTTGTTTAGGAAAGACAGGATGGGCGGTTAATATTGAAATATGATAAGACTTTTGGTGGCATCTGTAATGTATAGGTTAATTAACATGTTTATCTTTCGATCGAATTTCAAATAATCTTGCATTTATATATTACAGGAAGCATGGAGTCATGAATTTATGTAAACGCCGTTTATCAAGGCGAAGTTCCCATTGGCACATATCGGAGAGAGCTCCCTAAGTTGTGAAAAGTTGTGTCCAAACCCCATTCCTTATGAACTGAATAAATATGTTGAAATCATTTGACACATACAAGGATTCGCTAATCACGAGTAGTAGTGAGTGAGTGAGTATGGTTTTACGCCACTTTTAGCAATATTCCAGCAATATCACGGCGAAGGACACCAGAAA